AATAGAATCAGACAATATGTATGTATGTAGCCTTTTGAGTCTGGTTCCTTTCTATGGAGTATAATGCATTTGAGATTTAGCCCTGTTGTCAGATGTGTCAATAGTCTGTTCCTCTTATTGCTCAGAGTAAGCATTCCATTATAAAACACTCCACTGGGGAACATTTGGGTCATTTTCATTTTTTTTGCTATGGTAAGTAATGCCACTTTAATTATCATCATAAAGTCTTTAATATTTGACTTATATTGGAAAATTAGAGTATGGGGAAAAGTTCAAGTTTCCTCAACATTTATCTTTTTGATTGCTAAAGCAGACCCTAAAATTATTAGAATACTGGTCCTGAATAAGTTAATTTAAAAATGTAACTTGAGATTTGTTTCTTCAGTTTGAAAACAAGTCAGTGAAAATGCATATATAATTTAAGCATATGAAACCTAATAATATGCCATACTGACTTTCTTTGGTGATGAAAAAACCTTCAAAATTAATATGTATATTATAAGCCTTACTCTGATATATCAGGGAAATGACTTACATGTGGTACGTGTAGCCATTTCAAATTCAACCATAATTGGTGTTAGCACTTCTCTGAGCTATTATTTCTCTGAGTTAGGTATTTTCTCTGTTAGAATTGGGATAGATACAAAAAATATGGACCAGTTTGCATTGCAGGCTCTAAAAATTCAGTTTTAATAAAATATCTTAAATGCCTTGTCTTCATATATTCTTAAATAATCTTACATGTTTAAAACAAGAAAAATAACATTATATTTAAAATGCTTTTCTAGATTATGAAAGGATCCTAAAAATGTTTTGTCTTTTCCATTAACAGCTTGGTGATGTATTCCTGTAATATAACCAGTCATTATTTTCCTCTAAAAGCTTGTGGGCACTCCCCTGGACGCATACCATGGCAGGCCTTTGTTGATTCAGGGTTTGCTCTTAAGTATTTTCCTATTTAAGACAGAAATAGAAGAGAGACCTAGGTGAATACATAAAACAAATACAGTGTCAGTGAACAAGCATAACTAAATACACACAATATAAAAGACATGTTTATGTCAAGGGTAGTCACAGGAGGTTCATCTATAGAAAGTGAAGATGGATGTTTCTACTTTGCTTTCTTTCTGAAAAAGTGGGTGGACTAACTGAGGTATTAAGAATTGCTCATTTGAAACCTATATAATATTATTAACCAACTAGAGGCCTGGTGCCAATAGTTGGTCTTCAGATACATTCTGTCAACAAGGCTGGCTTCTTTAAGCTTCAGAGGTACATTGTGCTAATAATTGTTCTTCAGACATATTCTGTTGCCAATGCCAGCCCAGGGTAGGGACCATGAGGAATTGGGCTCCTTCCTCCCCCATGTCAGGGTCCAGGGTGTAGGTGAACAGGATTCAGTGCTGTCAGGGCAATGGCAGAAAGCTAACAAATGGCTGATTCCATGAGGAATTGGGCTCCCTATTGTCAGAGTTGGGAGTTGGGGTGCAACTGAAAGCAGGACAGGTTGGGGATGGGGAGAGAGCGTTGCAGGAGGTTGAGGGAGCCGATCACCCGGATCCAGCCAGTTGGACTCCACAGTGCACAGGTAGGGTCCCTAAGCCTGGCTGGCAATCAGGGCCTATCAGGGCTTTCCTTCACCCTCTGCTGACAGCTGGCCCTGCCCCCACCCCTGCCACTGCCACTGATTGCCATCAGTGTAGCAGCACCCCTCCCTCTGTGGGTGACAGGAGTGGGGTGCAATTGCTTGACTAGCCTGGCACCAGTGTATGTCATAGCATGCTTGTATGGACAGTAGTTCTGTTGTTCGGCAGTTCAGTCAATTTGCATATTATGCATTTATTATTATAGATGTCACCCCAATAAATTCAATAAAAAAAGAATTGCTCAAATGAAGGGAAGGAAAGAACTTGCTAGAGTAATGCCTGAAGTATGTTATACACCGTTTCCCAAAAAATAAGACAGTCTCTTAATTTTTTTTCCCAAAGTTGCGCTAGGTCTTATTTTCAGGGGATGTCTTATTTTCGGGGAAACACGAGTAGGTAAATCCAAAGGCATCTGAAGAAGGCACCCTTTGATTATACAGGATGGGGCAGCTGTAGGTTCACAGTTCATATAAAAAATCATACAACAATAAATAAATAATAATACAAGAATAATCTCGGGTCTCATGTATTCACAGATGTAGACCTACTTTTACCCACCCTGTATGCCTCACACCAGGAATATAGGATACTGTAGCAAGCATGTCAAAGTCACAGCCCGCGACTTTGACTTGGTGAGGAATGCACCTGTGAGCCTTCAGTTTCAAAATATAAAAATCACTAAGTATAGTGTTAGATCACATATTCTTTGTTTTAAATGTGTACAGGAAGAAAATGGATGTATTACTCAGTGATGGCTCAAATAATTAGCACACAATGAATTTTACAAGGTTGTGGTGAGGATGGCTGTACATCTTTGAGAGTATGTGTCCTGTGCATTACCAGTTTATTAGCTCACCAATGGCGACCACAGTGCAGAACACTCCATCAGCGTGTAATGATAATATAAAGAAAGTGAAGCAATAGGTGTAAATGGTAGGATGGTTCACTTGGCATCTTTAACTAGGAACCAGCCAAATAGAATTTGTTTCAATTTATTTAACTGGTATCCTAAAAAATTTCCCTTAGATGAAATCAGTGAATGCATATTTTCCCATGTCCCAAAGTTAGATATTTTCTCCACTGTCAAAAGTAAAGTAAACATACATGATCACTAATGAAAATTCTTAAACTAATCATTTTACCACTTATTTAGTTGCAACTTAAATTGAACTTGCTTCTTGAATGAGTTTGTGAAGAGGAAAAAAAAATTCCCACATATAATTACACATATTGTCATTGTGAATTAATATATCTCCTTTGGTATTTTGTATACAACTTCTTAATCTTCCTCTTTCATTCTATTTTTAATTAAGACTTTATTTTTTAGAGCAGTTTTAGTTTCAAAACAAAACTGAGGAGAAGGTACAGAGATTTCCTCTATGCCCCCTTCCCAATCAAGCACCTCACCTTCCCTGCTTTGATTTTCATTTCCTTCAGAAATACTTCCTCAGTTGATTTGCAGGGGGGAAAAAGAGTAAGGTGAAGAGAAAATATAGAATCAGTCGCAACAGATGTGATTTCAAAATTGTCTGTTCTAGTCTTATAACGCAGTGCTCCTTTAAAAACTCAAATCTCTGGAAGTCACCTGCTTCAGGCAGGTAGTAGAACTTTCCTGACATTGATATGATTGTTGAATATTTGGTCAATAGTTCTTATTCTTTTATAGAGTTTATTTCAATTGCATATGAAAAAAGTTTCATTATGAATGAAAGTATTAGTGCATAGAAAAGGTACATATTTTTCTCATTTCATTTGCTAATAGAATCAACCCATTTTGGTCCTCGAGTTAGCTAAGTTGATATATCCATGTTTATAAGAGTTTGTGGAAAGGTTGTGTTTGAAATCCCTGCTCTAATCAAGCCATCACTTTGTAGTCCATATCCTCACTGGCCTTCATTTGGAATGTACATCTCCCAAGGTTACACCTCAGAAAGGGTAATCCTTAGTTTATTAATAATTATTAGCTTGTGCTCTGGGCACTGACAGTGGACTTGGTCACTGCATCACTGTGCTTTTATCCCACCATGAACTGTCATTTGAATTCCAAGATCACTCAAATAAGAATTCAAAATTGGTATTGAAAAAGTTTCCAAAGATGGGTAAAAATATACTTTTGAAAAATCTTATAAGCGATTTTTCTTTCATTTCTGAATTTCCTAGAGACTCAGTTATCATTAAAGTTTGAAAACCTTCAAGTTTTCAAAGCATCTAATACTGGACACAAAGCCCTTAAAATTGTTTTCATTCTAACTAGTGAGAAGATCAAAATGAAAGTTATTTCAGGCTTGCTTGATGGCGAACATACCAAAGGACTCTTGCTCCCTCTACAGAAGGTGCTTCAAAATTGCAGTCTCAAAATACTTTATTTTCATTTTTTTAATTCAATGAAATAGATTTGCCATAAGTTCATGATGATTAACGGAAAGTTTTGGCTCCATATGTATCTCCACTGTCATACAAACTGGTTGGTTGTCCTAAAGTTGATCAGGATAGGTTTTTGCATTTCTAATTTGGTATTTCTCTCTTGCATCATCAAGGGTTAAACTCCAGTAACAAAAACTGTGAAAACAGAAGGTTTTTGTTTGCTTGGCTTTGTTTAATTTATTTACTTTCATGGATGAATAAAATGTTTGAACATATATTAGGTGATCATCTTAATCATTTTCATTCTTTTTCATTTAGCCAGGGAATTTAAGCCAGAAAAATAATGTACTATACCTCAACAACTTAATTAGTTTTCTCATTATCTACTTCTACTTGTTTTGGTCATTTTTATTTCTTGGTTGTATTTGGAAAAAAAATAATTTAAACTGTGACTTCAAGGAGGAAGATTTCATTTAATTAAAGTAGGATTATTTTTCAACTATAGGTAATATTTACTAAAGACAGAAAGTTTGACCTTTCTATAAGAACCTTTTCATTAATATAGTAGTATAAAATTTCCATATATATATATATATATATATATATATATATATATATAATCTTAATTTATTGATGTAAGTTAAATTGGAACAAAATGTTAATATTTTAGTAGCTTTGCTTTGAATAATTTTATGCATTTTCTCTTAACCACTCCAAGATCATTTTATTTGACAGGTTACTAGTTTTTCTTACTGTGCCATTTAAAATTATAAGTATAACATTTTTTTTATTTTATTAGTAGAGTCTTAACAAAAGATTGAAAATTATTTTCTTTGTATTTAGCATAAGAACAGCCTTCTGCTATTACCTTGTAATTGAAAAATGAATACACGTGACAAAGTATCTTCTTTAATTTGATTATGTCACATCAGACTTGTTCTAAATTATTATGCTTATACTAGACTGGATTTTTTTCTTCCTCTCTGGTAGGTGTACTGGTCCTTTAGCAAATTGTCTTTCAGAAAAGACAAGAGACCCAGTAGAGGAAGATGATGATGAATATAAGATTCCTTCATCCCATCCTGTTTCCCTGAATTCACAGCCATCTCATTGTCATAATGTAAAACCTCCTCTTAGGTAAGAATATGGGCAACTTTTGATCTCCTCAGATCTGCATATACATTATCATTCATGATGTTCATTTTTAAGCAATTAAATCATATCTGTTTATTAAAAATCCTTGCTTTCTTACTCAAAGCCTCTTCTTCCTATATATTGTTTTCTGAATTTCAGAAAAAACTAAAAGATACAAATTTTTCAGCAAGTTGTTTGACTAATTTAGTTGACTAATAAGTCTAATGGAACATTTTTTTTGCCCCTCTCTCCCTCCCTAAAAACAAATCGTACTCTGATCAAATTTTGTTGATGGTTACCTATAGTGATTAATTGAATTTTCCATAAGCTAGTTTCAATCCATTTTTATAAGTTCTAAGTACATATTTCATGAAGAAAAGTGTGTGCTTAGAAACTAAGGTATGCCAACCATCCTTAGAATTTTTCTTCATGATGTAAAGAGTAGTGTAATTTCTATTCATTTCTCATCTGGATGTGCTACCTCCTTCTAATCAGATCTTGAAGAAAAAGAGGGAAAAAACCCTAAAACTTTTTGTCTTAACTGCTTTTTATCAGGTACTGTCTATCTTCCTTTTGCTTGGATCAAATAAGAATGTGAGGAATAGTGTTTTTTCTTGCCAGTTATCTATTCTCACTATTCTAGAGACATCCTTGATCTTTGAATTAGCCCCTTTGAAGTATATGAGTTATTAAAAATGGGTGCTGTGTATTGAAATATTAACTTGTCTTTTTTAATTGAATTAGTAAGCCATAATATATTATTATTTATTCTTTTAAAAGCCTGACATATATGAGGTACTCAAGTGAAATCTCAGCTTCAAAACTTACTTTCTAAGCCTCAGTTTTTCTTTGTGTAATAACGTCTCAGGAGCTGTGCTGGGAAAATAAACTAGGGTTCCACTGCTGCTGTGGCCCGGGCTTCTGCCTGCCTGTGTCTCCTGATTGAGAGATAGGAGAGCCCTTGAACACTTCAATCATTTATGCCATCTTTATTTAGTCTACAGTTTCCATTTTCGGTCTAGTTAGTCAACGGAAAGCATTTTATGCATGCAGCTTTCCCTTTTCAGATGAGAAATCTAAAAATGTTCTTAATGCCTTTCTCTGAATATTATACTGAGACAGTAAATGCAAAGCTTGGAAAAGAAAGGCAACTGTTCATTATAACCAGAGATCTGTCTTAATGAGTGATCTTGGTTGGAATTATCAACCCTATGCCAAGTTATTAACTGGGATTATTAACATTTTGAAGTACAGGGCTTCATATTTCAAAGCAAGAACCAAAGTATTTCTTGCTAATTGCTGGTGTTTAAGACATTTGCTGCTAAAATAGTATCATTGAAAAGACAACGAAATAACTGAGAGGCAATTTATTGTATCAGGAGAACCAAGTGTCTACTATTCTTAAAAGAGAAAAAAGTTATTCCTTCATGTCAAATACAAATTATTACAATTTTCAATTCTTTTGACTCTTACAAATGTGTAGTAATTTTTAAAAACTGAAATAAGATGAAATATTTCTCTCTACACGGTATCATTATTTTTCATTACTGGAAAAGTGAGGGGTATAATTTTAATACTTTAAATTTTAATTGTCACATCATATTGTATGAGTTATTTGATGGCAGACCTCCCAAATCTAGAATATAAAATTGAATTATGTCCACCATTACCATCTTTGTACTGTTATAGAGAAGTAATAAATGTTGATAATCCCTAAACTTAATTGGAGTGCATTTTTTATCTAATTTGTTCTTGAAAGCTGATGGATGAGTATTTTCTTATGTCCAAAAAACACTCTTTAAGCTTAAATATTTTTTTCTCCTCTGTTCCCCCTTACCCTTTGGAACATCAGAAGAATCAAATTGTCAATATGTGGAAAAAGTAAACAGTAGATGAATAATTCAATTCAGTTTCAGTAAAAATCCATCGTTATTATGAAAATTCAATACATGCTAACTATTTTTAAATGAAACATCTCTGGCCCCTTGAAGAGAGGTGGCTACCTGAGAGAATGGAAATGAATTACAAATGAAGCACTCTTATAATAACTATTTAAATATCCACCAACTCCTCAATTATGTATGTGATTCTATTTTGCCCCAAGAATTCAGAGTAAATTATGATAGAGAAAAGTAAAACCTAAACTCTGCTTTCTATATAGCTCCTTGTGAGCAGAAGTTGATGAACTTCATTGTTACACAGCTATATTATGAAGACAACACATGGTCTGTATCGTCTCTTCCTGTTGCTGTCTTCCCATGCCCCAATTTTACCCATTGTGTTCATAGTATGATTTCAACAGAAAAAAACAAATTTTAGTATTATCCTTATAGACACCTAGATCAAAATATTTGTTGTATACCCAAGACTTCTGCTAAAGTCATTTTTGTACAGTTGTCAGAACTGCCAATGTCTTGTTTGTGGCAGCAGTGAAATTATACTATAGACTCTAGATCTTTGAATATGCCTATCATATTTTTTAATGACTTTTTTTAATAGGTTGTTTGTTTTGTTTTGTTTTTATTTTGTTTGTCTGTCTGTTTGTTTGTTTTAGAGAGAGGAAAAGAGAGAGATATGCACATAGATGAGAGAGAAACATCAATCAATTGCCTCCTGTATGCCTCCTACTGGGGATCAAGCCCACACCGTGGGCATGTCTCCTGACTGGAAATCGATCAATGACCTCCTATTTCATGGTTGGACACTGAACCACTGAGCACACCAGCCAGGCTGACCATTAGAATTTTAATGCAATTGCTGATCATTTAATATTGTTCTCCATCTTTGATGGGCTCTAGTTTGTTATAAAGACAGCTCAAATTACAGGAATAAAAATATAATGTTAAATAATATATTTCTTTGTTTTATTACATTTTTTTCTTCAAAAACTTGACAATTAGTGAACTCTTTCAAAGCAATATGTTAATTTCAAAGATGTGCTTTAAGTACACTTTTTGTGACTACTGTAGTTCTTAGTTTCACTTAAAAAAAGATAATTTGTGTTCAATGGGATATTTATTTTTAATTTGTACAAATATTTGAGTAAGAGTATCTGGATAATATTACTTGTACTTTTTTCCAGAAAAGCAACTTAATTATATTTATTTTCAAACTTTATTATATGAGTTGGGTTGCTAGTTCCCATCACCCTCCCAAGTGACTTTTAAATAGAAAGTAATTATCCTTATGATTTTTATCTTCTGATTTCTGCTATAGGTCTTATGATAATGGTCATTGTATATTGAATGGAACACATGGTACATCTTCAGAGATGAAGAAATCAAACATCCCTGAGTTAGGCATATATGTAAAGGGTATGTATAATACATATTCTCTTTGTATTCTACATCTTAATGGTCAGAATTTAAAGGCAAAAGTCCATGGCAATGTTGAATTGAAAATACATTAAGATTTTGTGTTATCCTCTAGGAGATGTTTTTGATTCAGCCTCTGATCCAGTGCCATTACCACCTGCCAGGCCTCCAACTCGGGACAATCCAAAGCACGGTTCTTCACTCAACAGGACGCCCTCTGATTATGATCTTCTCATCCCTCCATTAGGTTGAAACCTTTTTTAAAAATTTCTAACAAGCCATCCTGCCTCTTCTTTCACTTAGTATCTGAATTATTAGAAATTGGAGTTTCATGTAATGCACACTCACTAGGTTCTGAACCTGTCTGAAGTAGAATGGATTCTTCAGGTGATGCTACTCTCAAGTTCATTTGACCATTATTCCATTCAGAAAATTGAAGCAATGGTGTCAATTGCTGGCCCTCAGACTTTTAACAAGTTATATCTTAACTACTAAATGTAGTCTACAAAAAAAATCTATGAGAGCATTATTCAGGCACTTGTGTTCTAGTAGATTTGCAGTGATCATCTGAAATTTTCTTTAAGTACAGTTTTCAGTGAATGTGTACTGTTTCAGCATAAGATGATCTGGTCCCACTTAGTTACATTATGGAAAATTATATATGTTATTGTAGAGAGCTGAGAATAAATTATCACCATTGCAAAGAATTGTAAAAAACAACAATAAACACACACACACACACACACACACACACACATCCAATGAATCTAAATTTTTGTTTCAAATTTTAATATGAAGCAGCATACTTTGTGTTCGGTGTGTGCACCTGTGTGGAGACACAGAGTTGTAAATGCATGCTAAAGTTGGCTGCATGTGTTAAGCCCTTAAGTCTAGGTGGGAAGTTTCTTGCCCTATATTTAGAGGAAGTCAACTAGAACCTTCCCCCACATTAAGGCTTTATAATAATGGGTCACCTTAGGTAAAAAAATGTATGATGAAGGTCCATTTTTAAGCTTCTCTGAATTATTAGACTGCCAGAAATGTGAAGTAAAACTCTTTATTTTTTTCCTTAAACACCATCAACCAATGTTTCCAATTACACTATTGCGATATCTTTTACTCTCCTGTTCTTTTTTATTTTACAAACCTCTCCTGTCCTTTCAGTAGTTCAATGCTTTATTCTCACCTACATGAACGACAAGCTTCTAACTTCTTTATGTGGTATTTTTCTCCCTTATTCTTCCTATACACTGATGTTTGACCTATTACCCAAGTCTCCAGGATCTAGGTGATCACTATCCAATAGAACTTCATGTGGTGATGGAAGGGCCTGTATATTTACACATGTGACAGTGGAACTGAATTTTAGTGAAATTTAAACTAAATAGCTAAATGTTCATGGTGACTACTATATTGGGCAGTATAGACAAATGCTCCAACCTATCTTTTTAATCCCACTTTCCTCTGTACGTCTCATGCTTTATTCACATTGTTTGCTCTGTCTAAAAGACACCATCTTCCCATTTGACAAATATTCTTGAGCCACTGCTAGCCCAGACCTTCATGTTCTTGGTAACATCTTGCTTAATGCCAATTTCTTCATTCCTCTTCCCTCTTAAAATGAATCTCTCTCTGTGGGACCTATGGAACTTTCATCTTAAATCATTAATGAACTTTTCTTAGATCTCCTAAGCTCTTTGGGTAAGATCCTTATGATTTAGATCTACATGTTACCTATGTGCCAGGCATGGTGCCCGACACTTACGGCTGAAAAAGTATTTGAATGAATCAGATAATTTAACAGATAGCTTAAGGTTGGAATGATAATAGAACTACCTCTGCTATACCTTCACATATTTTAAGTTAGAAAAATATTTTTGATTATTAGAGAAAATACTTTCAGTATGTTTTGCAAAGCAAGCTGCATGAATCGTAAAACTATTTTCTTTACATATACCTTTTTGTTTGTCAGTAAATTTAAACATGCGTGAGTTTTTGTTACTGGAATATGTAGTTATTTAAATACCCTGTTTCATTTGCAGAGCATTTGAGATTGCTTATATACTCTGCAACTTAAATTTTTTTAAAAATCATTATAAGAGAAAATGTGCATAGAATAGTACATGTGGCAGGGGGAAATAGACAAAAGCATTTCACAGTGTTCTGTAGTTGCTAAAACTGGAAAATATGCAAATATGAGTAATTAGCTTTGTGACCACACAAAGTAGTATTTAACTGTTTCTCTTTAGTGATATACTGTATTTTCCGGCTTATAAGACGACTTTTGAAATGAAAAAAAAAGTCATCTGAAAATCGGGGGTTGTCTTATACGCCAAGTATATCCCAAAAAACGTCTCGATATGCCGCTAAACAAATTTTCCAATTCAATCCCTCACCAATCACTGCAAGGCTGCTTGGACCGCATCTCTAACTCAGCCAATCCAAGCAAGCTTTTTATGCATGCAAATTATACATGTTCTGTACCCGAAGCTATACTGTGTTCTAGTAAAAAGCCTGCTCAGATTGGCCAGAGTCAGAGAGGCGGTCTATTAAAAAAAGAACTGGTGTTGCCTCGGAAGTGGGGGGTAGTCTTATACAGTGAATATAGGCCTAAACCTATGTTTTAACTGTAAAATTAGGGGTCATCTTATACGCCAGAAAATATGGTATTGTAATAGAAAAATATATTTTTCTCCTGTAGGTGGCCATTTGCGGTATATTTTGATAATAAAATATATGGAGCATTAGCTTCAATAACTTACAACCGTGTAGGATAAAGTTTAAAAGATAATCTATTATGTGACATTAAATTTTTGTGCATAGTGTGATTTTCTAATTAGAGGCTGTTACACAAAAAGTTCTGTTTTGATGGTGTGACAATTTTTAGTTCGAAATTCTAGTGTCTTAATAATTTAAAGCTCACAGGTGAATAGTAAGCTGTTTCATAACCTGCAGTGCTGCTTTTTAATAGAAAGACCTGGGAAATAGGAAAAGTTTGCACACATGTATGTGTGTGTGTGTGTCTGGTTTGCTGCTTCCATAAAATATTTAACTCCCATTATCAAAGTTGGTGAACAGCTGGATAAACACTGCAAGTGAAGTTCTTTATAAGCAACAAGAGAAAATCAATAATTACTTTGGCCTTATACTGTGTTTTGACTAATGAAGTTCTGCTGTTGATACTGACCTTTCTTTAAATGCAGGTGAAGGTGCTTTTGATGCCCTCCCCCCTTCTCTCCCACCTCCTCCACCTCCTGCAAGGCATAGTCTCATCGAACATTCAAAACCTCCTGGCTCCAGTAGCCGGCCATCCTCAGGACAAGACCTTTTCCTTCTTCCTTCAGGTAGGAGAGAAACTTTTCACTTAAAGCAAAAATATTTCTTAGGTCATACTGTCAAATGAGTAATTCATTGGTTTCTATCTCCTTGGCAAAAAAAAAAAAAAAAAAAAAAAAACCTGAAAGGAAAAATAGCAATTGGGTAGGTTTGTTTGTCAACTGGTTGGTCTAATTGCAAAAGGATTACAAAAATGGCAAAAGCAATAGGAAGAATAGAAGATGGAAATGGTGCTGTAGACATTATCCCAGTCCAGATGTGTCACCAAGGCATCCCTGAGAACCAGAGGGCTCCATGATTGGGCTAATTGTAATGGTGGGGACAAAATTTAGACTTTGTCTCTGATTCTGAGTGCAGTAATTTTTTTATTAATAGTAGGTTTTAAAAATGTTGCTACATATAATTTCATTCAAAAACATATTTTGGTAAATTATGTTGTTATAACAGTGATATGTTTTTCTGAATTACCTTCATTTTATTGTTTTGTTATTGTTTTTACTTTTAAGTAATCATTAGTAACAGTACTGAAAAGTATTCATGGGGACTTAACTGTGACCTTTATAAAGTGGCTACCAAGGGAGCTTATGCTATGAAGCTGACAAGTCAATCAGGTTTTTTGACACTAGGAAGTTTTTAGATTACTGCTTAGATTTCATAGTAGATATCAGTCTGCATTGATTTTCTGTCTTCTTGATTCTGTTTTAGAGGATTAAGAATTTGGTTCTTCCAGGTTGTCCATTTTCTTGGACTATGATTGTTTGTAGTATCCTAGCCTATATAATAAAAGCCTAATATGCTAAGTGTCCAGTCATCCAGTGAGCCGTTCAAACAATCAAAGCATAATATGCTAATGATATGCTAAGGCCACTCAGCTGCTTGCTGACGTGCACTGATCACCAGAAGGCAGACACTTTGATTGGTAAGTTAGCTTACTACTGGGGTCCGGCTGATTAGGACTGAGCAAGATGGGCCAAACATGCCCTGGAGCCCTCCCACCGTCCCTGCCTGGCTGGCCAACCAATGATATCCTCAGTTTGGCCTGCATCCTCTGGCAATTCAGAACCCCTTGGAAGATGTCCGGAGAGCCAGTTTTGGCCTGATCCTGCAGGCCAGGCTGAGGGATCCCCCACTGGTGCATGAATTAATGCACTGGGCCTCTAGTTTTCCTATATCGTTTGTATTTCTGTGGTGTCTGTTGTCACCTCTCCTCTTTCAATTCTTTTTTTCTTAGTCTGGTTAAAGTTTTATCGATTTTATTAGTCTTTTCAAAGAACCTCTTTATATTGTCTTTTTAGACTCTATCTCTATTGTTTCCACTCTGATCTTTGTTATTTCCTTCCTTCTCTTTTTGGGCTTTGTTTGCTCATCTTTTTTAGATCCTTTAATGTTAGATTGTTTATTTGAGGTTGATCATGTTTCTTGAGGTAGGCCTGTATTGCTATATATCTCCTTAGAACTTCTTTGGCTCTGTTGGATGGATTTTGGGGTCATTGTGTTTTCATTTTTGTTTGTCTCCAGATGTTTTGATTTCTTCCTTGATTTCACTGTTAAGTAGTATGCTAAGTTATATGTTAGAATTCATTGTTTAGTAGCATGTTATTCATCTTCCACATTTTTTGTGTTTTTTCAGTTTTCTTCTTGTAATTGATTTCTAGTTTCATACCACTGTGATAGAAGATGCTTCATTGGACTTCAGTCTTTTTCAGTTTATTGAGATTTATTATGTGGCCTACTATTTTATCTATCCTGGAAAATGTTCTACATGCACTTAAAAAGAATGTACATTCTTATACTTTTGGGAAAGTGTCCTAAAAATATCAACTTAGTCCTATGGTATGAAGTGTCATGTAAAGCAACTATTTCCTTGTAGGTTTTCTGTCTGGATGATCAATCCATTGATATCAATGGGATGTTAAAGTTTTTTATTATTACTGTATTACTGTTGATCTTTTATGGCCTTTAAATACTAAATATATTTAGATGCAACTGTGTTACATGTGTAGATGTTCACAAGAGTTATACTTTCTTTTTGAATTGATGCCTTTATCATTATGGAATGTTCTTTTTTCCCCTCGTTACAGCCCTTGTTTTAAAGTTTATTTTGTCTGATACAGTTATTGCTACCCCAGCTTTGTTTTGTTTCCAATTGAATGCAATATTTCTTTTCATCCCTTTACTTTCAGCCTTTCAATCTGAAAGGGCAATATATGTCTGGGTCTTGTTATATTATCTATTCACCTATGCTAGGTCTTTTGGTTGGAGTATTTGTACTTCTTTTGTGCATGTGTTTATGTGTATCCCTTAATTTATTGTTGTAATAACACATAATCTTCTAAATTTTGTCTTTAACTAGTTAACTGCCATGCATCCAAAATGGAAACCATCCCCACATGCCACATATTTTGAATTGAATGAGGCCTATAGATTCTTATAGCATACAAAGGGTTAATGCTTGTACAAGCTTTATAGTTGGATGATCCATAGCATTTCCTAGATATTTGCCTTTGTCAATGAGATCTTTTTTTTTCTTTCCTGTACTTTCTTATTTGTATTTTTTATCCTTTCAAATTAATGAAGTCACTTAACATTTCTTATAACTATAACATTAACACTGAGTTAGTGGAGATGAACTCCTTTAGTTTTTTCTTGTCTGGGAAAGACTTTGTTGCTCCTTTGATTCTAAATGAAAGCTTTTCTGGGTAGAGCAATCTTGTTTGTAGTTCCTTGCTTTTCATCATTTTGAATATTTCATGCCATTCCCTTCTGGCCTGCAAAGTGTCTGTTGAAAAACAGCTGATTGCCTAATAGAGCTCCCTTTACATAACTAACTACTTGAGGTTTTTTCTGTTTCTTTAACCTTTGGGAGTTTAACTATGTGTCCTAGTGTGGGCCTCTTTGGGTTCATCTGTTTGGGGCTCTCTATACTTCCTAGAACTGTACATCTGTTTCCATTGTTATATTAGGGAAGATTTTGGTTGTTATTTATTCAAATAGCATTAAATCCCTTGCTCTTTCTCTTGTAGTACCTTTGATGCAAATGTTGTTACAACTGATGTTGTCCCAGAAGTTGCTTAAACTACCCTTGCTTTTTAAAATTCTTTTTTCTTTTGCTGTTCTAATTGGGTGGTTTTAACGCCCTTGTCTTCCAGATGGCAGACTTGATCCTCTGCTTCATCTGATCTATTGCTGAATCCAGCTAATTTCATTTCAATTATTGCATTCTTCATTTTTGGCTCTTTTTTTGTTTTGTTTTCTATCACATTTTACCTTTCCTACCTCACTGTTGATGTTCTTACTGAGTTCATCTACTCCTCCCCTACATTTATTGAGCATCCATATAACCATTGTTTTGAACTCTGCATCTGGAAGATTGCTTGTCCATTTCATTTAGTTCATTTTCTTGTTCTTTTGAGACATGTTTCTTTGAGTCCTCATTTCGGCTGACTCCCTGTGTTTGTTTCTATGTATTAGGATATGCTTCTATTGGTTTTTTTAGAAAGAGGAAAGGAGTGAAAGAAACATCAATGTGAGAAACATCAAGAGTAAAAAGAAAGAAACATCAAGAGTAAAAAGAGAAGCATCACTGTAAGAGTTAAACATCAATCATTTGCCTCTAATACATGCCCCAGCCCACTACCTTTTTGGTATATGGGATGACAGTGCTCCAACCTAGCCACCCGACCAGGGCTTGGTTATTGCTTTCATGTCGGTGAGTAGTTTGACCTTCAGGCTGACTGGGTCTGAGAGCTGGCTGTGACTATAAAGGACAAGCTGTTTTGCAAGGGCTGACCCCACAGAAGAGGGGTCTCTTTAGTGGGACTCTAATGCCAGCCAAGTCTGCCCTTTGGGTTTGTCATTTATAAAGCTGGTTGGTGGGGCTCTGATATGGCACCAGGTGTGTACTGTTCTGGAGCCTCTTGGGTGGGGCTATAGTGCAGGTCAGGTTTACCTACTGCTTGTTCCTGGCTCGGGGTTATCTGGTAAGAGCTACAAAGTGAGCAATCTATGGTTGGTTTCCACTTGTGCTGGGCTTAGAGGTTCCTGAGAGAGGCTATTTTACAAACTAAGGCTGGCGGCCATTAGTGTGGGGCCTGGAACCCTTTGATGGGCACCAGGATGATGGTTGAAGCCAGCTGCCACTTGTGCCATGTTTGAGGCTATATTCCAAGTCAAGACTGGCCACTGCTTATATCAGACCTGGAGCTACCTAATGAGAGTTACTAGGTGTACCAGTTAACAATGTGGATTTTGTAATCAAAGAAAACACTAATTCCAAAAGAAATATCAAAAGTGCTTTCTTCAAAGTACAGTCAGTCCTCAGGTTATGTTGGACTCGACATACGTAGCCATCTCCCATCCTATTTAATAAAGAGGTAATAGGTAAATTGACTGTCACTCCAACTCAAAAGATGGCTGCCCCCATGTGGACACAAGATGGCCACCACAAGATGTCTGCAGCAGGGGGTTGAGGGGGAGTTGTGGGCGACAGGCCAGCAGGGGAGGGCTGTTGGGGGGGACCAGGCCTGAAGGGAAGGGCAGTTGGGGTTGACCAGACTGGCAAAGGAGGGCAGTTAGAGGTGAATGGGCTGGCAGGGGAGGACAGTTGGGGGCTATCAGGCCTGCAGGGGAGGACAGTTAGGGGGTGATCAGGCTGGCAGGCAGAAGTGGTTAGGGCAGTGGTCGGCAAAACGCCACTCACGAGCCACAAACAGCTCTTTGGGCCCTTGGGTGTGGCTCTTCCACAAAATACCATGTGCGGGCACACACGTACAGTGTGATTGAAACTTTGTTGATCCATGCGCTGAAGTTGGTTTTTGGCCTGGGTGAATCTATTTTGAAGAAATGGTTCTAATACCGATCCACACTCAAAGGGCCAAAGAGCTGCATGTGGCTCGCAAGCCATGGTTTGCTAACTACAGTGTTAGGGGTGATCAGGCTGGCAGGCATAAGTGGTTAGGGGCAATCAGGCAGGCAGGCGAGTGGTTGGGAGCCAGCAGTCCTGGCTAAA